AGAAAAGCCTCAGTGGGAGAAAGGTCTCAGTCTGTGAGAGAAGGCCTCACAGTGTGAGGTAGGCCTTAAGTCTGTGAGGGAAGCCTCTGTGTGAGGTAAGCCTCAGTATGAGAAGGCCTTGTGTGTGAAGACTGAACTTCATTTGTGTTATGGAAACCTTGTTCTTGTAAATAGTGCGACCATATTATTTTACTATAAAGAAAAGCGTCAGTGGGAGAAAGGTCTCAGTCTGTAAGGGAAGCCTCTGTGTGAGGTAAGCCTCAGTATGAGAAGCCTCCTATGGAAGAGATAACATTGGTCTGTGTGTTTTTGTTCTTTTTATCACTTTGGGCAACACGTTGCTGCCAATAAGTTACTCTGTTGTACATTTATGAGGAAGGGTCTTTTGTTAATAACCCCACTCGCCCAACATGGATGGCCCTTGGGGTCCCTTCCAATTCTGGGAGTCTATTATTCAAGATGCCTTTTCCTCATTCCTCCCTTGGCAAAAGAGTTCTCCCATCTTTCTACGAATCTGAAAGCCCGCAAAAGAAAGGATCTGCCTCTAAAGACACTGAAAGAGAACGTAACAGCTGATAAGGGAGAACAGATAAGGAGAACCGTCTCAGCCCTGACCTTTGGCAATACAACTCCCTTCTCCTATTAAAGCTTCCTATTTAACATTCCAGCTTTCTGGCTTCATGAGGGAATGCTTGATTCCAGCTTCACTATCCACTTGTGACACCGAGTCCTTGATGGAGTACTTCCTCATTCTTTTGCATGCTGCTGGAAGGTTTTACAGCGTCATAAATTAGTTAAATTAGTCCCCCCGCATAAAGCGGTACCTAAATTTCCTACTTTACAGATGCAACTGTCTTTTGGGCTGCATAGGTCAACAGCAAGCTAGACTAGCTGTCACTCTGTTCCGGGCTGGCTTCTACTTCGTGACCTCGTGGTCACTAGTGATTTAACGCAGCGGACTACAAACTAGCTGTGCTACAGCCCGGCAGGGAGGAGCTGATCGATTATATTATAAAAGATTTGTTATCCATATAAATAAAATATTCGTAAAAGGAAGTGAAGGAAGGAAGGAGGGAAGGAAAGAAGGAAAGAGGGAGGGAGAGAAGGAAGGAAGGAAGGAAGGAAGGAAGCAAAGAAGGAAGCAAAGAAGGAAGCAAGAGGAGAAGAAGGAAGGAAAGGGGAAGGAAGGAAGGGAAGGAAGGAAGGAAGAAGGAAGGAAGGAAGGAAGGGAAAAAGGAAGAAAGAGGGAGGAAGGAAGGAAGGAAGGAAAAAGGGAGGGAAGGAAGGAAGGAAGGAAAGAAGGAAGGAAAGAGGGAGGGAGGGAGAGAAGGAAGGAAGGAAAGAGGGAGGGAGGGAGGGAGGGAGGGAGGGAGGGAGGGAGGGAGGGAAGGAAGGAAGGAAGGAAGAAAGAGGGAGGAAGGAAGGAAGAAAAAAAAGAAAAGAACGAGGGAAGGAAGGAAAGAGGGAGGGAGGGAAGAAAAGAAAGAAAGAAAGAAAGAAGGAAGGAAGGAAGGAAAGAGGGAAGGAAGGAAGGAAAGAAGGAAGGAAAGAGTGAGGGAAGGAAAGAAGGAAGGAAAAGGGAGGGAAGGAAGGAAAGAAGGAAGGAAAGAGGGAAGAAAGGAAGGAAAGAAGAGGGGAGGAAAGAAGGAAGAAGAGAAAGAAATGAGAGAAAGAGGGAGGCAAGGTTGGCCACAGCAACACATGGCGGGTACAGCCAGTCTATATAAATAAAACTGTAATGTTCGTTTGTGGGATCAACAGAACTCAAAAACCACTGGGCGAATGGACACCAAATTTGGACACAAGGCACCTCTCAGGCCAGGGAGTGACCATCACTCATGAAAACACTGGAAAACACAGCAGAAGAGACTTAAAAAGACAAAAAACAAAAATTACATTACAACACATGTGCAAAACCACATAAAGACACAGATATGCCAATATATACACACATAAATACACACACAAAACACACATATACACAGACTGGACCACAGCAACGTGTGGCAGGGGACGGCTAGTGCAATATAAAATACACCATTAGGTAAAAGTTTCCCCTTGACATTAAGTCTAGTCGACTCCGACTCTGGGGATTGGTGCTCATCTCAAGCCGAAGAGCTGGAGTTGTCCATAGACACCTCCAAGGTCATGTGGCCGGCATGGCTGCATGAAGCGCAACAAGTGGCAGGTACAACTAGTAATTTATAATATAAGCATAATAATAATAATAAAATTTATAATATAAGCATAATAATAATAATAATATATCTCCGGGACTGTGACGCAGCTGGTCAGTAGTGATTAAGATCACTACTGACCAAAAGGTCATGCGTTCGAAGCCAGCCCAGGTCGGAGTGAGCTTCTGATCATTGTGTGTAGCTTGCTGTTGACCTTTGCATCCCGAAAGACAGATGCCTCTGTCAAGTAGGAAATTTAGGCACTGCTTATGCGGGGAGGCTAATTTAAATAATTTACAGCGCCATAAAAATTCCAGCAAACAAGCAAAGAATGAGGAAGTACTCCATCAGTCTCAAATGGCCAGTGAAGCGACAGCTCCCCTGGTGACCAGAATACCCTCATGAAAAAGCTGGCATGTTAAATAGCCTCTGTGTGTCTGTCTATGTATGTTGTGTGTCTATGGCATTGAATGTTTCCATGTATATGTACATTGTACTCCGCCCTGAGTCCCCCGCGGGGTGAGAAGGGCGGAATATAAATACTGTAAATAAATAATAAATATTCATAATATAAATATAATCAATTTACCATATTTTTATTACATTATTATTATTATTATTATACTACTAATAAATATAAATATAATGTTTTAATAATAATATAAAGGTGTAATATAACAGGAAGAGGAAGAAGGGAAGAAAATATAAGAAAGAGGAGGAAGAGAATGAAGGAAGGAGAAAGAAGAAGACAAAGAAGAGAAAGAAAGGAGGAGGAAGAGAAGGAAGGAAGGAGGAAAAAGGGGGATGAAAAAGAAGGAAGAGCAAGAGGAGAAAGAAAGGAGGAAGAAGAGGAAGATGGGGACGAAAAGGAAGAAAAAAGAGGAAGAAGGGAAAGAAAGGAAGAGGAAAAGAAGGAGAAGAGGAAGAAGGGGATGAAAAAGAAGGAAAAGAGGGTGAAGAGAAAGAAAGGAGGAAGACGAGAAGGAAGGAAGGAGGAAAAAGGGGGAGAAGGGGAAAAAAGAAGAGAATGAAGGAGAAAGGAAGAAGGAAGAAGAAGAGGAAGATGGACAAAAGAAGGAAGAGAAAGAAGAGAAAGATAGGGGAAGAGGAAGAAAGGGACAAAAAAAGAAGGGAAAAGAGGAAGAGAAAGAAAGGAGGAGGAAAACAAGGAAGGAAGGGGGAAGAAGAGAGGAAAAAGAGAAGGAAGGAAGAGAGGAAGAGAAGAAAAAGAAGGAAGAAAAAAAGAGGAAAAGAAGAGGAAGAAGAGAAAAGAAGGAGAAGAAGAAGAAGAAAGAAGAAAGAAGAAGAAGAAGAAGGACAAAAAAGAAGGAAGAAGAGGAGAAAAAGAAAGAAAGGAGGAAGAGAAGGAAGGAGAAAGAAGGGGATGAAAAGAAGGAAGGAGGGAAGAAAAGAAAGGAGGAAGAGAAGGAAAGGAAGGAGGATAAAGGGGGTGAAAAAGAAGGAAGAGAAAGAAAGGAGGAAGAGAAGAAGGAGGAAGAAGATGAAGATGGGGACAAAAGGAAGGAAAAGAAGAGGAAGACGAGAAAGAAAGGAGGAGGAAGAGAAGGAAGGAAGGAGAAAGAAGGGGATGAAAAATAAGGAAGAGGAAGAAGAGGAAGAAAGGAGGAAGTGAATGAAGAAGGAGGGTGAAGGGGTGAAAAAGGAAGAGAAAGAAAGGAGGAAGAGAAGGAAGGAAGGAGGAAGAAGGGGGTGAAAAAGAAGGAAGAGGAAGAAGAGAAAGAAAAAGAAGTAAGAGGAGAAGAGGAAGAAGGGGACAAAAAAGAAGGAAGAGAAAGAAAGGAGGAGGAAGAGAACGAAGGAAGGAAGGAAGGAAGGAGGAAGAAGAGAAAGAAAGGAGGAAGAGAATGAAGGAAGGAGGCAGAAGGGGTGAAAAAGGAAGAGAAAGAAAGGAGGAAGAGAAGGAAGGAAGGAGGAAGAAGGGGGTGAAAAGAAGGAAGAGGAAGAAGAGAAAGAAAAAAGAAGGAAGAGCAAGAGAAGAGGAAGAAGGGAGGAGGAAGAGAACCAAGGAAGGAAGGAGGAAGAAGAGAAAGAAAGGAGGAAGAGAATGAAGGAAGGAGGAAGAAGGGGGTGAAAAAGAAGGAAGAGGAAGGAGGAAGAAGATGAAGATGGGGACAAAAGGAAGGAAAAGAAGAGGAAGACGAGAAAGAAAGGAGGAGGAAGAGAAGGAAGGAAGGAGAAAGAAGGGGATGAAAAATAAGGAAGAGGAAGAAGAGGAAGAAGGAATGAATGAAGGAGAGTGAAGGGGGTGAAAAAGGAAGAGAAGGAAAGGAAAGGGGGTGAAAAAGAAGGAAGAGAAAGAAAGGAGGAAGAGAAGGAAGGAGGAAGAAGATGAAGATGGGGACAAAAGGAAGGAAAAGAAGAGGAAGACGAGAAAGAAAGGAGGAGGAAGAGAAGGAAGGAAGGAGAAAGAAGGGGATGAAAAATAAGGAAGAGGAAGAAGAGGAAGAAAGGAGGAAGGGAATGAAGGAAGGAGAGTGAAGGGGGTGAAAAAGGAAGAGAAAGAAAGGAGGAAGAGAATGAAGGAAGGAGGAAGAAGGGGGTGAAAAAGAAGGAAGAGGAAGAGGAAGGAAGGAGGAAGAAGATGAAGATGGGGACGAAAAGGAAGGAAAAGAAGAGGAAGACGAGAAAGAAAGGAGGAGGAAGAGAAGGAAGGAAGAGGAAGAAGAAAGGAAGAAAAAGAAGGGAGAAGAGGAAAAGGGGAAGAAGAGGAGGAAAAGGAAGGACAAGTAAGAGGAAGAGGAGGAGGAAGCAGAGAAGCAAGGGCTTCCTCCCTCAGAAGGAAGTTTCGGAGTTCCTCCTCACATTCGGCTTCTTCTTTCCTTCCGCTTTCCTTCACTTCCGCGGAAGTTTACCTCAACTTCCGAAGGGGAAGTGTGTTGGGAGGCGAGAGAGGCGCAGAGGACCCTTTCCCGCCCTTTTCCGGGGCGCTTCCTGCTTCCGCTTCCTCCCGAGACCCTTCCCCTCGACGCCTCCCTCCCTCCCGAAGATGGCGGACGGCGTCCTGTCAGGGATTTACTTTTGGTCCAACTCACGCCCTCGGCCAATCAGCTCCTCCCTGCCTTACCTGCTGGCCAATGGGAAGCCTCCCCGAGCCGGAGTCTACGCCCACTAGTCAACGAGCGACCAATGAAAGCGAGCGGGGACGGCTACCTGGCAAAAAGGCATGAAGGCGAGCGGAGGGGGCGGGACAAGGAAGGCGGAGGAGCCAATAGGAAAAAAGAGAGAGTCACCTGTAGCCAATAGGAACGGGAGAGGAATACTAAGGAAGGGTAATTCGCCTAGCAACAGACTCACAACGGCTGTGTGATTGGCAGGGAGAAGAGGAGGGACTAGAAGACCAGAGGGGGCGGCAGAGCCAATAGGAAAAAAAGAGAGTCACCTGTAGCCAATAGGAACGGGGGAGGAATACTAAGGACGGGTAATTCGCCTAGCAACAGCCTCTCAACGGCTGTGTGATTGGCAGGGAGAAGAGGCGGGACTAGAAGACCAGAGGGGGCGGCAGAGCCAATAGGAAAAAAAGAGAGTCACCTGTAACCAATAGGAACGGGAGAGGAATACTAAGGGAGGGTAATTCGCCTAGCAACAGCCTCACAACGGCTGTGTGATTGGCAGGGAGAAGGGGCGGGACTAGGGGGACCATAAGGAAGAGCCAAAGTTTGTAAATTTGTTTGTACCACAAAGGCTCTTCTGTGGATTGATGGATCTGGGCCAAAATTGGCACACAGTCTTCTTGACACCCAATTTAAAATTTTGGTATGCTTCTAACGACTAAATCCACCCCCAAAATTAAAAATAATGGTATATTGATTAACTCTTACCTGGGTTTATATGCATGCAGTGCTCAAGTGCAACCACAAGGGGCGGTATATAGGTAGGAAGGATTGTTTACTCATGAATATGCATGCCTGCAGTGCTCAAGTGCAACCACAAGGGGCGGTATATAGGTAGGAAGGATTGTTTACTTATGAATATGCATGCCTGCAGTGCTCAAGTGCAACCACAAGGGGCGATATATAGATAATGATTGTTTACTTATGAATATGCATGCTTGTAGTACTCAAGTGCAACCACAAGGGGCGATATATAGATAATGATTGTTTACTTATGAATATGCATGCCTGCAGTGCTCAAGTGCAACCACAAGGGGCGATATAGGAAGGATTGTTTACTTATGAATATGCATGCTTGTAGTACTCAAGTGCAACCACAAGGGGCGGTATATAGATAATGATTGTTTACTTATGAATATGCATGCCTGCAGTGCTCAAGTGCAACCACAAGGGGCAATATAGGAAAGATTGTTTACTTATGAATATGCATGCTTGTAGTACTCAAGTGCAACCACAAGGGGCGGTATATAGATAGGAAGGATTGTTTACTTATGAATATGCATGCCTGCAGTGCTCAAATGCAACCACAAGAGGCGATATAGGAAGGATTGTTTACTTATGAATATGCATGCTTGTAGTACTCAAGTGCAACCACAAGGGACGGTATAGGATTGTTTACTTATGAATATGCATGCCTGCAGTGCTCAAGTGCAACCACAAGGGGCGATATATAGATAATGATTGTTTACTTATGAATATGCATGCCTGCAGTGCTCAAGTGCAACCACAAGGGGCAATATAGGAAAGATTGTTTACTTATGAATATGCATGCTTGTAGTACTCAAGTGCAACCACAAGGGGCGGTATATAGATAGGAAGGATTGTTTACTTATGAATATGCATGCCTGCAGTGCTCAAATGCAACCACAAGAGGCGATATAGGAAGGATTGTTTACTTATGAATATGCATGCTTGTAGTACTCAAGTGCAACCACAAGGGACGGTATAGGATTGTTTACTTATGAATATGCATGCCTGCAGTGCTCAAGTGCAACCACAAGGGGCGATATATAGATAATGATTGTTTACTTATGAATATGCATGCCTGCAGTGCTCAAGTGCAACCACAAGGGGCAATATAGGAAGGATTGTTTACTTATGAATATGCATGCTTGTAGTACTCAAGTGCAACCACAAGGGGACGGTATAGGATTGTTTACTTATGAATATGCATGCCTGCAGTGCTCAAGTGCAACCACAAGGGGCGATATATAGATAATGATTGTTTACTTATGAATATGCATGCCTGCAGTGCTCAAGTGCAACCACAAGGGGCAATATAGGAAGGATTGTTTACTTATGAATATGCATGCCTGCAGTGCTCAAGTGCAACCACAAGGGGCAATATAGGAAGGATTGTTTACTTATGAATATGCATGCCTGCAGTGCTCAAGTGCAACCACAAGGGGCAATATAGGAAGGATTGTTTACTTATGAATATGCATGCCTGCAGTGCTCAAGTGCAACCACAAGGGGCAATATAGGAAGGATTGTTTACTTATGAATATGCATGCTTGTAGTACTCAAGTGCAACCACAAGGGGAGTTAAATAGATAGGAAGGATTGTTTACTTATGGATATGCATGTCTGCAGTGGGGAAAATTCTGGGGCTCCTTTCTCCCTCATTTTGACATCTATTGGGGTGAAACTCGCTACTATGGTAGAACATATTTACCACTGTTAGCCCATCAAGTTTCAGAACGTTTCACCTATCCATAGATTTTTGGGGAATTTTCAAGGTTTTTATAAACAACTTTAAAAATAACTACAAAAGCTATCTCCTTTAATTTTCTATACAATGATACAAGCGATTGCATCGTAAGTACAAATTTTATACCACTTACGACAACTAACAAAAAGAATTGCACACCCTTATTGCTTACTTATGAATATGCATATATGCAGTGCTCAGGTTCGACCTCAAGAAGGCATTATAGAGCGAGAAAGATATAGTTTTATAGGTGAATGGTTTAATTAAGTGGGTTGTTGTAGGTTTTTTCGGGCTGTATGGCCATGGTCTAGAGGCATTCTCTCCTGACGTTTTGCCTGCATCTATGGCAAGCATCCTCAGAGGTAGTGAGGTCTGTTGGAACTAGGAAAAAGGGTTTATATATCTGTGGAATGATGACCAGGGTGGGACAAAGGACTCTTGTCTACTGGAGCTAGGTGTGAATGTTTCAACTGACCACCTTGATTAGCATTTAATTGCCTGGCAATGCCTGGAGCAATCCTTTGTTGAGAGGTGATTAGAGGTGATTTAATTAAGATTTTGGATGGGCTTTGTGTGTGTGTTTGTGTCTATGCCTTCCTCTGAGGTTGAGAGAGTGAGAAGATGGAAATTATAATACAATATAATACTACCAATAATAATATATTATAATTATATATATTATATTACATGTAATACTACTAATAATATTACAACATAATGGTATGGTACAATAGTAATATATAATACTAATATTAATTATTACTATATTGCAACAATATTATAATGTAATGCAATATAATACTACTAATAATAATGTGATAATTATATATTCATATCACATGTAATATTACTAATAATATTACAATATAATGGTATGGTACAATAGTAATATATAATACTAATATTAATTATTACTATATTGTAATAATATTATAATGTAATGCAATATAATACTACTAATAATAATGTGATAATTATATATTCATATTACATGTAATATTACTAATAATATTACAATATAATGATATAGTGCAATATAGTAATATATAATACTAATATTAATTATTACTATATTGTAATGCAATATAATACTACTACTAATAATGTGATATTATAATTATATATATTCATATTACATGTAATATTACTAATAATATTACAATATAATGGTATGGTACAATATAGTAATATATAATACTAATATTAATTATTACTATATTGTAATAATATTATAATGTAATGCAATATAATACTACTAATAATATGATAATTATATATTCATATTACATGTAATATTACTAATAATATTACAATATAATGGTATGGTACAATATAGTAATATATAATACTAATATTAATTATTACTATATTGTAATAATATTATAATGTAATGCAATATAATACTACTAATAATAATGTGATAATTATATATTCATATTACATGTAATATTACTGATAATATTACAATATAATGATATAGTGCAATATAGTATAGTGCTCTGGTTACATCCCGCCTTGACTACTGCAACGCTCTCTACGTGGGGTTGCCTTTGAAGACGGCTCAGAAGCTCCAATTAGTCCAACGCTCGGCAGCCATGATACTAACAGGAGCGGGGCGCAGGGAGCATACAACTCCTCTGCTGCACCAGCTCCACTGGCTGCCGATTTGCTACCGGGCCCAATTCAAAGTGCTGGCATTGGCCTTTAAAGCCCTAAACGGTTCTGGCCCAACATATCTATCCGAACGTATCTCAGCCTATCAGCCCACCAGGACCCTAAGATCTTCTGGGGAGTCCCTGCTCTCTATCCCGCCTGCTTCACAGGTGCGGCTGGCGGGAACGAGAGACAGGGCCTTTTCTGTGGTGGCCCCTCGGCTTTGGAATGCCCTCCCCATAGAGGTGAGATCAGCCCCTTCGCTGATGGTATTTCGAAAAAGGTTGAAGACATGGATGTTTAAACAAGCATTCGATTAATCTGGTGCAACGAAACTGATGAACAAGGATTGGTTAATCACAGACGACGAAATTGGATTGCGACTACAATTAAGAGATGCATTGGATTATTATTGGTGGCCCAATAATATTGTGTATTGTGTATGTGTTTTTATGCTTTTTAATGGAATATTGCTGCTTGTCGTTGTGTTGTAAACCGCGTTGAGTCGCCGATTTAGGCTGAGAAACGGCGGTATATAAGCACAGTAATAAATAAATAAATAAATAAATATTGTTTATTGCCTATTGTGTATTTTCTGTTTTTGAGTTTATTTTATCTGTTTTGTATTTGCTATTGTTATTGCTTTTGTTTATTGGTGTGCTGTGGGCTTGGCCTCATGTAAGCCACACTGAGTCCCTTGGGGAGATGGTAGCGGGGTATAAATAAAGTTTTATT